AATTTCTTATTGGTTAATAAGAACTCTTAAAACACTCTGACTGGTTTTTAATTTTATTTTGAAATGGTCTTAAACCATGCACGTTTGAGTTTATTTTATGTTAAGAAATTATTTGAAAACATCTTTCTTGTTAAAGTACATAATTCGTCGCAAGCAAAATCTCGTTTCCAAAGCTCTTAGTTTAAATTTCCCCGAAAAATAGTTTGATTTTACAATCGAAGAACGCGTAAGATGTATTAAACAACTGCAACTAGTTAATATTATTTCCTAGTAGGCAAGTTTTATACATTATGGACTGCTGTAAGTACTGGAATATTGTGATGTCCGACTAACGCGTCTAATTAGTGGCATTTAATAGTGCTATACATTGAACTTAACTGTGGTGAAAATCTATTAACGTTTACAATTTTTTGGCTTTTGAAACTACCGCAGCTGAAGGCTCTGGCAACACGGAGCTGGGAAAAGCGCATTTTTGCGAGGTAAGCATGAATCTACATTAATAAACTTTATTAAATAGCTTGAAAGATGTTGGCTTTATGATTTTGCTCAGTTGACAACTTTGTAAAGCCCTTGCGGCTAGATTTGGTCTTAAAGCCAAATAAACAGTATCCAATAAACACTTTTAACAAAGTACACTTAAATTTTACTTGTTTATTCTGTTTGTACTAGAAATAAAGAACCTGAGCATAGGTATTTAATCGCTGTTTTGCTTCTTAGGTTATAGCTAAAACAAGTAAGGATGAAACACACGCAGAAGATGGGGCTTTTTTCTCAAAGAAACCTTCTGACGTTGGCTATTTGCTTATAATTAAGAAACAAATCATATATAGGATTCCAATAATTCTGGATATCACTCGCATTGATGAAAGCAGACAGGAAAAAGGTGTAAGTGAAAAGTCAAATCAATTATAATTTACACAGAAACATTATAAACTGTTGGAATCGTGAATGTCCAACTTTCATTGGGCAGCATTTTATCCTCACATATAAACAGTCTCACTAAGAAGTGCATCGATTCTGTCAGTCATTTACTAGTTTCTGTATGTTCCACCAAAATATAAGTTTATCTGCAGACTAATGCAAAATAAGACTATAAAAGGCATATGCGAAAATTTTAGGTATTTACCTTTAATAAGATCACTCACCTATTACCTTTCTTTCTGATTGTTTGGCAACAAACTTATGATTTTGACAACAGTCTTTTTATTTTAGATGCGATCAGAACACGGGAGTACTATTTTATCAAACGATCCATACGAATTCTGTGTCATGATGAAAAATAATGGGGCTGCAGAACTGGAAAGTGCATTAAAGGGGCTCTTTAAATTCTGCGATTGGGTTAAAATTCTCTCGGCGGCGCCACTTCCAGACCAGGTTAGGCGAGGTAAGTTTCATACAACTTATTGGACATAAGCCAGTGGATGGTTTCATTTTACTACGGTTGATTTGGCTTACATCAGTTTAAGTCTTATTTAAGTCACATAAATGTAATTTGAGATTAGTTCTTATGAAAAAAATTTGATTGATTTCCATTCAAGTAGTGAACGAACTTGGAACGAGGAGGAAAGATAATAAAAGTCGGCTTTCAGACCACTTACAGACATGCGCAGACTTAGACGCAAGGGGTGTTTGGTCGAGCTTGGGACACTCACGTAAAGCGGCTGCCAAAAATAGTTCTGATGAATATCGTAATAGTGGAACTAAAACGACTGTTTTCCATTTAGGTGTAGAGGTAGCCACAATTCTTACTTAATGGGTGATATAACTGCTTCATAAACCGCAGTATCCCTAGCTATTCGAGTTATTCATTGGCTTCTCCTTAAATATTTTTCCCAAGACATGTCTACACTGACAAGATTTTAATTAGGTACTTGAAGGGAAGTTTATATTTTGAACTCAATCTGACATTTGCTTTTGCGAATTCGCGTTGCGCATTATTTGCTAAGACCTTTTTTGATTTTTCTGGTGATTTTTGGTCCTATGCATTGAACTTACAATCATGTCTTTTTTTGTGGACGTTAATTTCCAAGGGCTACCTCGTGTGCACGACACTAACGTTTAAGAAAACATTAATATTGTTGTATCATGTTTTGTGCACAAGCTTTTGATCATTTGCAATTTCAATTGGGAAAAACATTTTTACCGAGAAACAATGAAGACACTCGGAAATATCGTTTTAATAAAAAAAAAACATTTCATTTAATAGTAAAATCCTGACATAAAATGCCATTTAATTCATAGAATCCAAATTAAAAGGTTGCGTTTCTGCCAAAAAGAAACACGATTTTTAATATATCCCTAAAGACGTTGGAAATCCCAGTGACTGTAAACAATTAACACGATAAATTATGTAATAAGGACTTCAACATTTCACCATTTATGTCTTGTAAAAATCACACATTTAAACAATGCCTCTTTTTAATCCTACTTTGTTTGGTCTCACTTTATCTCAGTAATGGTTTTCTAAACCCAAGCAGTCTTTTTGTATGAAAATCTATTACTTTTACAGACCTTGCTACACCAAACGTTTCCATTACGAAAACCATATCATCAGTTAAACGTCCACTCCATTCAGCACCAACTCACTTTACCCCAGTGCCCATTAAGAAAACCTGTCGGGTGAGTAACAGATGGGCGACTACAACTTTGCATCATTTTTCAGCTCAGACATCCTTTTTCAGCCAAACTTATGTGACTGTTAAGTCCTGGCGAGGAATTGACTTTATTTCTAGTGTCTATCACATTGATTGACAAATGGCTTAATTCTTGGAGGTTGCGTCATGAGTTTAGGATGATTTGCATATCAAAAACTGGTCCCAAATCAAGTGAAGGTTAAACCTATTAATTAAACAAATGGAATTAGAGGAAGTTCATGAGTACCCTAGCTGTAGAAATAAACTCTAGTACTATTCACGCAGTTGAGCACTTTGCATCGTGATTGTCTAGGCGACATTCTGCACCTGAAAGGGATTTTAAGTTCAGGCAATTTATTTGTTGGTCATCAACTATATGTTAACGCAAATATAAAAACAATGTATTATTTGGAATTATGTTCTTTGCATACTAAACATTCACCTGTTAACTGGTTTTTTTTCACTTAATTTAGTCATCAAACGCGTCAGAATCGTTGAGTAACGGACGTTCAACTAATGGCTCGACTAATGTGCAGCCACTTGAATGTAAGTCTCAAGAAAGCGATTGTCTTTTAGCTATCATTTTGAAGTGATCGTTTTAACTGACCCAGTCGAAAAAAACATCTTCTGTTTAGTGAACAATGAAATAACCAAAAATGCAAATACCAACGGCATCCGGAAGTTGGGAAAGAGAAACCTTAAGGAAGAATTATCAGTCAAAACCGTTACCAAGTGTAAGAGTTGCGAGAGAGTTTTCTGCCCTGTATATATGAACACGTAATTGGAGTCATAAAGTCACAAAAATGAATTTTTTACTTCAAATTTAAAATGGAAGAGCTCTTTCTATTGGTTAACGGTGTCAAGTATATGGAGGAATCGGTGTAATTCGAAATTCAAGTCAGTAAGCACACAGTGAAACGAAAGGTCACGAGTGGTTAGGCTGCAATAGAACAGTTTTTAAATGCTTGTGGTCGATCACACAATTTTTTGTATAAATGTGTGTAGGTAGAAAGTTACTACCTGTATTAGATTGAAAGAAATTAGCCTGAGAAATTCGTGGAACCCATGGTCTAAAGTAACACACTTAGTCATTAATAAAAATTAATTAAGGAACCGCAACTCAAGCCTTCTATGTATGAAAAAACATCAATTTTAATACAAAACGGATAAGAGTTAGTGTCAACTCTCATGCCTCATTGACAATACTTTAATGTTTTAGTATTTAAAACAGTTTGCTTGAAAATGCCAACAGACTAGGTAATTGACTACTAGGTGTCTTAATTGTTAACAGGTATTCACAGCATTGCGCTCTGTGAACGCAGTCAACACCCAATGTTTTTTTGAAGCGAAGTTAAACAGGAAGTGTCATTTATATCGATGAGCTTTACTGTTTTAATGCATCTCTAATTTGTGGTAACTTAATGACGTGAAATTTACTCGTGGTAGTATTATTTTTAATTTTTTAGGGATGAATACCGAAATGGTTGGATCCGAGGGCAGTATAATACAGCTTAACACTTTTGGCAGTACCAATGGTTGGAATTCCGCCTCACGTTTTTCAAAAGCCATCCATACTTTTGCCCATGATCTGGGGAAGCCCAATTCTATCTTGGATGCGCAAGATAGAATTGACATTCAAATTAAAGGTAATAAATTCACGTGCTTCAATTACCATTAACCTTTTGTTGTTTTCTTTGACATTTTAAACGCTGCGGGTGAGCAGATTATATTTGGCACCAATATTTTGAATAAAAACCGGTAGGGTTATATTTAACCATAGTATCAAACTCTACGCTCCGAAAGTTGCCTATGAAGCCTTTGTGTAGGGAAACAACCTAGAAGAGCTACCATTGTCTATTTATTTGGACAATGGTTTTAGCATTGGCAATTCCAGTAGGTAAAAAAATCTGGGCTAATAGGCTTAAATATAAATCATTCCTTACGGTGATTTTGTAATATGCGGTAGTGAAAGTATAAGTTTAAAAACATCAAACAACAATAATAACATTGCCTTTACAGCAAGCTTTGTCCTAAAAGAAATTTCCGATAGAGTTTTTGCTGAATAAGAATACTGCTAAAATGGTCAAAGTGTCATCGGCGCTTGTTATCTGGTGGTATTTGCACCTGTGGTGACTAGGTCTGGTTAGGGTAATTTTAAAGTTTCTTGGTTGGGTGAGATCTAAAGACTGCCGTTGAATACCAAAGTGCGATGAAATGGCTATACGATGAGCGTGATTCAGTAATTTCCTTACCTGATAAGTATCGCATGTCTGTTTTCGTTGATACTTGCACATAACAGAATAGTTTTTGTAAATATTATATGTAACCGCATGATTGAGAGTAAGTTAACTTCCACAAGGTTTGAACATGGTAATCTCCTCTTTAACAGCGCAGAGCCCACCCAATCAGTTTCGGCATAGTATTTCCATCCAAGGACTTAGGCTTCCTGACACTGGCGGTTCGACTCCGCAAAGCACGCCCACATCTTCTCTGTACTTCCGCCAGCACTCACTCGGCGCGATTGAAGCAACGGCCAAAATGGACGAAGTCATGACACAACAGGTAAGTCGATTGTTTACACAAGCAATGACAAGACCTACTCTTTATTCACCTTAATAAATTTACAACATAAATATTCGCTTTGCAAAACTGAGGGACTAAATTTTAAGGCTCTTTCGCAAAATACAGGAAAGCATTCATTTGCATTGGAGATCGCTTTTAATCACTTTGAAGTGTAGTTGTCAATTTTGTAATAATGCAGAATTTTAAAGATTATCTCAAGCCTCGAAAAAAAATTACGAAAAAATAGCTTAAACTCATTATGATTTGTTTTAATTCTTTTGGTATTTATTGCTTGAGTTTATGGAAATCATATAAGGTAAGCCACCTCAAAGGAAATCGATTAATTGCCTGATTTTGTACCAGAACTGAGATCACGCAGGAACATCATTCCGGGGTGATCTCAATCAATTTCAAACCACTTTGTACAATTAGGTAGGGCACTTCATAAAGGTAACTCATGAATTTGAGACAAGCCAATCACCGCAACCGATGCAAACGGGCCAGTGAAGATTAAAATAAAGAGCTCAATTGACAATATGTTCACTAGCTTTTAGTAGTGTTGGGCTGTTGTCTTTCCAGAAATCACTCTAATAAATAACTGAGTTAGATTAATTGCTATTTTCGGAAAACTTCGGCTAATGGGAAATAGAATGGAACGCTTAGCAGTCCGAATGGCCCTATTTTGATATCTGTGACTTCTGTATTTCATAAAAGAAGGGAAATATCGATAAAAATATTTATTTGAAACATGAGAAAAGCTAGTTTTATACATTTTTTAAAAGAAAAGTCTTCAAAAGTGTTTTTGCAAGACCTACACTAAGGCGATTAAAATCACGCAGTGCCATGTGTTGGTAAATCTTGAAATAAATCCAATTTTTCACAAGCCATTTCGTCTGCCCTTGTGTATCGGATAAGATCAATGAGTGAGGTTTATTAATTCCATTACAGTGATAAAAGAAGATTGATAGGTGCGGTGGGGCCAAAAATTAAAGGACTTACTTACACGAAATGGGTCTTTTTATAAATTCCTCAACTGGATCATTTACTTATGCTTCATTTTGTTAGTTTGCCCTTAACAAAGAGAAAACCACTCAAATAACGGTACCAGATCCTTTGTTCATGCTAGCACCGACCTTCCCACGCTAATAGAATAACAAGACCAGAGGTCGTGTAGAGAGCTTTAATCACGTCAGTCACGTGCGAGTGAGTTGTCAAAAGTGAAACTGATTCAAACCAAGGTTGCCTTGACCTGATAAAAGCGTGCTAAAACGCGTGTTAGGGAATTAAGGGTATCGTGGATCCCCAACATACTTGGATTCTCTTTTTTGCCCTGATTCACTTTTTCCTTTGTAAGAAATCTTTATCAGAGAGGAATCCATCTTCTGTCTTAAAATCGATGACCAAGGATATTTCCTTTCCCCATGTTCAACAACCCAATGTGATTCAACACTCATCGCGAATGCGCTATTTCCCCGGATCTTCCAAGGGTCAGATCCAAAGCGACATGCTTTTGGCCAGTCATTCCATGTCAGAAGCCCCAACATTCAAATACAAGTCGCAACCTCTTTTCTCTCGAGCGATGTAAGTTTAGGAAATACTTTCTGAATTGACCATTTAGAAATAAGTCATTAGTGTTTCAATACTGGCTTCATAAATAATGCTGTTTTGTGACAATTTTGGCTGGATTTTCACTCATTTGATGGAGAAGAATAATTAGTCTTCAAAATTATTGTCTCCGTAAGACTACCTTCAAGTGAAATGGACAGAGACAAACTCTGTTGTTATCCTCAGGAAGCAATCGGAAGAACTCAGGGTCGGTTGTGCCTGTCCTATGTTTGAAACATTGTTTCCATCAAACTAGAACTCAACCGGCGATTGCACTGGCTGAAATGACTAGCCGCATGGCACCTGTCCAACCACTGCCTCAAAGGCCACGATACTCAAATGGGGGGAACTCTGAACAGCCTCTCAACATGAATGTTGCCGCTGGAATTCGATTCAACAATGCTCAAACCTCGCGCACGCCTTCCAAAGTCACCTCCGCCCATACTCTAGCCCCAAATCAGGTCATTCGGCAGCAAACAGTGTCGCATCCACAAGCACAACTTCCCATCGGTCCATCAATTGCGTGTGCCAAATGCCAAATATTTCCCCATTATGCGTTAATTGGTTCAAATCAGGTACGTCTTAAAAACGCTTTGCAGCGCTAATGACATTTGCCTGCTGAAATTGCACATAAAGTAACGCGAAAATTTACCTCTGGGTTCACAGTCTTCGAAAACGCCGAATTCCCACACTATTCCACAAAACAAATGTAAAACTATGTAAATGGACAGTTTTACCCTAACTCATTCATTTTTAATGTTTTATAGTTCACGCAATTTTGCTCAAATATGTAGTCTGAAATTCATTTTCTGTCTATTTACTCATCGTATCGTTAACTTTTTTTGGTGTTTGCGGACACTTTTTCTTCAGCTAGTTTATTTTCCTAAAAAAGCCTAGATAGCCTATAAACGCGCCAATTTCAGCTAAGTCGTTTCTTACTTTTCCTTTAAAAATGAACCTTTATTTGATTTGTTAGGTAGCAAAACGCATAAAACCTCCGCAACTAGATGTCAATTCAAAAGTCACTACATGACTTTCGTTTTGAATATGTTGTTTTCTCTAGGAAACTCCGATCGACCTCTCAATAAAGTTTTCAGAAAAAACATCATCTGAAAATTTGGCAAAACAAGATGCTGTTACATTCAACGCCTGTCAATCGGCATCTACTTATAACGAAGAAGGTTGGTTTGACAAAAAGATGGATTAAAATAACTGAAAAAATGAATAGTTAAATAAGTGGCAAATTAGGTCAACTATAGCAGTTTGAAACCACTTAGTCCATAAATACATGGTTATCAGTACTTGATTGTACATTGCTGAAGATGATTTTGTAACCGCAAGAATGGCTGCAAGAATCGGATTTGCGTCAAGTACGACAACTTGGCTACTTTTTGTATTTACTGGTGGTCAAAAGTGGGGTCTTTGGAAGTGCAGCAGTTTGAGGATGCTGCAGGTAAAATTAATTTCAAAGTGTCTAAAGTGCACGACTGGTTTTATAGCGAGAGTTTATCATGTAGTCCGTTTCAAATGGTCTGAATTTCATTCATTCCTTTTAATTTTCAGATATTTAGATGATTTTAAGCCGCGTACGCTTACTATCCGTTTACCAAGCTTTAAAATGCGCTTTAAACCCGGCCTTGTAATGCCAGCACGTCAGGGCCTGGTCATTTTACTGATGTGTGACGCGACGTTACCTGAAGGCCACACCCATTTGTTTGGTAATGATTCACTTATTGTTTGGGCGTTGGAGTGTCTTCACAAGTCATGTAAAGTTGCATAAATTTTCTCCAAATTTTATCGTATAGTGGCGAAGAGACAAAACCGGCGTGCGTACTTTCAAAAATACTTTAAGCAATCCATGTTTAGCTGAGTCACTTCGCTTGAACTACCCAACTTGCACTTACCTTTCTGGTCTTGAAAGGGCTAATACAAGGAAGCGAAATCTTTTGCATCCTTAAACAAATGTAGATACTGATTTTCCTAGGGATATATTTCAATTTAATGATCATCAAGAAGGGATATTTAAATGAAAGTCGGAACCAAAACCCACCCAGTTAGTCAGTCCAACCTCTGTAGTTTCATTAAGTTACTCCGACATAACTGAAAGGAAACGTATTACCTTGAGAAAACTTTCAGAATCCTGACTTCATTTTGACCCTTTAATTAAAGCTTAGGGCCGTATATTTAACATTAGCTAGTAGGTCAAAATAAGCTTGACTGAATTCAATGTTAGCCAAGGAAATATAGAAATCAAAAATGTCAAAATAATGGAAACGTATGGTTCTGGCAGAAGTGTTTTTTAAATGCAGTGACCACCAGTGATCCCATTTGCGTGTTACAATTCTGGACACTGATCAAAATTTCAAGTTTCGGTTTTTCTTAGTATCGTGCTGTGACACGTCACATCTGACTAAATGAGAGAACCCTATTTTGTCGGAAAAAAATAGTCATACTCATTAATGCCTAAATCGCTCCTTACATCGACAGTTCCTTCTTACTACTGCCGTAGCTGTAGTAATGTCAATAATTTATTTATTTATCTCTCTTGTGCCATTAATTTCTTAACTCAGGTAACACAGTCTCTTCCACCGCTTCTAAGTGGGCCATTTGCCGACACATTATCTTCTTTTAAATGGAACGTAGACCTCAAGAACTCACAAAAACCACACTGTGGAACATGTCAGACACAGGATAAAAGATTGTGTGATTTGGTGTTCTTAGAATTATATTATGGTCATTTCTGTGCTTTTCCTACTGACCACCTTCCATTATGAATAAACTGACAAATTCAAGACGTGAAATTGTTGCAACTGAAGTCGTGATAAAAAATCCAACCTCTTAATAAATAGCATCTGACTTTTGTTGACCACCTAGGCAATCTGGTGCGAAGTTGCTTAAAGCAAATTCTAGATTACTTTTAATATTTTAGCTTTTAGGTTATCAACTGTAAACTACCAATTGCAGTTGTTAGCGGTCAGCTGAAGTCTTGCGTGATCCCTGTAAAACTTTACTGCACCTTGTTTCCGATTTATTTACCAAGTATTCTTTCTAAAATTGAATCATAATGTAATTGCATGTCTCTTCTTTAGAAATTTTGTCATTATATTACTTGCAAATAACCAAAAATCTCTGTAATCAAATTTAATTTTACACATCAAAAGACCAAACGCACTAATATCCTCACTTATGAAATGTATTTGTAGCAAAAATGTTGTAGTCCGTGTTTGTCTATTTTCAGTTTCGACATCTATTTAGTTTGTATTCAGGGTGTTTTTAAACTTGGATTTTGATATACCACTGCGGTAAAACGCTGGATTAAGCTATCGCTCAGTCGATCAGAAGTCATCGTAAGAGGTCATGTTAAACACATGTTTATGTTAGCTTTATAGCCTATAAACGTTTAATTTGAACAAACGAAACAAATTTGCAGGCCTACACGAATTCCTCCATTTGACGAGCATTTGAAGAATAAAGGTTAATGTTTCGTGAACGCTTATGTCATAATAAAAAGCATGTATTAAACTCATAAAGCTATATTTTCCATTTTTAGACGTCGTGATAAATCTGACTCGCTCAAACTCACCGAAATGCGCTAAGTCTTACCCGGAGTCTTCAAATTCGGAAGCAAGTTTACAGCGTCATTTTGCACCAAAACGAGAAGCACTCATGAAATGTCTAATTTGTAATCTCGACTTTGAGATGGACTGGTGGTTAAAAAAGCACTATCGTGGCAGAAAACACGTATGCAGATTATTGGAAAGCGTTGGAGGATCCGAGGGTCTTCAAAAGCGAATAAAAAGTCGGGAAATCAACTCGGAGACATTGGTAAATGAGAAAACGGGAAAGCTTCTTCTACATGTTGTAAATCGCCTGATCAATAATAATGGATGTACTCGGATAACAAAGCATTGACAAACTTGAGTTTTTTCATTAAAATAGATTTCTTACTTTTTATTAATAATTTGCATATCAATGTCTTAATGTGTAGATTGTAAATAATCAAGCTATATTTTATATCTAGATAGTTTTAGTAGCGTCATAAAATATTTATAAAAAATTAAGTGCTTTTCTTCTGCCACTAAGCGTCAAAAACTGATTTTCCAAAAATTTTGACATTCAAGGTTCTATGCATTTGCCACTCCTTGAAGACCCTAACAGAAAAATCAGAAGAAGATCTTTGCATAATTAAACGAAAGCAAAATCAAGGAAATACGTTCAGCATTTGTTTATAACTTAATGCAAAGAGAACACAATTAAAACAGCTTGGTGAATTGCATAGCCTTTTTTTCAAAATAAATGGTTATTCAATTTACCATTATCTGTCTGTTTTTGTGAAAAGTTTATTAAAAATGCCTTCCCACGTGGATATAGAACGTTTACACCAATTTCGAAGAATAACGAATGGCTCCAGATCACTAAGTTCATCATCTTAAATTATGAGGCAGCGTTTGGACCGTTAAGATGTTTCCTTTACGCGAACAACGCTATTATCTTCCAACCTCTATTTGTAGAAACTCAATCACCAAAGTTACAATATTAGCCTGTTGTATTTTCATGTGAAGTTAATTTTATTAGGAACTGTGCGTCCCATGCTAACTAAAATGACTGACACCTTAGAGTTAAAAGTCTCTCACAAACTCACAAACGGCTTTGGTGTAAATATAGATATCTCGTTGCGAAATAACCCACAGAATACGAAATTGCACATTAATTTTGAAAGCAGAAGTAAATAGAGAGAACGGGGAACTTGTCCCATTGCATACATTTGGAGAACAAATGATTTGTCAAGACAAATGATGTAAACCAATGAGCTTTGAGGTACCTGTTTACATTTCCACGATAAAAGTTGTTTGAAAAATTTACCAAGGATGCAAATTACACGCTTGCGTACCTTGCAGACTAGTTTAACTCACCAAATATATCATAAGACTTTTTAGTTTCTATCTTGAAACACTATTTACAAATCTGAGCATGGGAATTATATACAAATATGCCTGCCTTGAAGCAAGAATCGGTCATTTATTTTGCCCCGACTGCCGATAAAGTCGATGTTGTAGAAGCAGATGTCACTAATTACTCCGGAACCCTACATTCTAAGCCCCTTCCTAGTATCTCTATAAACCCGCTTTGTCTTATATCAGTTTCTTTTATTTCCTGCATAACTTGACAATCTGGGCCTTTTGGGGTAAACCACAGAGTTCATCACTGTAATTGTTTCGGAAGATTGGAAGACTTGGAAAACGGGCAAGACTCAATGCTGTACCCCTCGGTTTATGTATACCTTCAAGGACAGTGCCATTTTATTGCTTTTTTAACAAAGAAATAATTGCGATCCTAAGCCACTGCCCCTCCTCAGACCAAATTGGCTGTTTAGGTAAACAACAATTCAATGGAATAGGACACGCCACATCCTAAACATAGCAGTTATTATAAACAGGAAGATCAAGTTTATGCTATCAATCTTTTTCTCTCGCAAAGATAGACGTAAACTAAAACGACTATCGTGAACTTACCCATATATTACAAATAATAAATTTACTGAAATAATAGGCACCATATGTGTCTGCTTCGTGAATTCATGAGTTTAGGTCTATCTGAAGACATCGCTGCTGATAAATCAAAGATGCCCCATTAAAATTTGCACTAAGGAACAGTCGCGTCCCACTGATACTTCCTTAGGTTCTAGAATTAATTTAAATTAATGATTCTTAATTTAAATGAACTCCACTTCAAGCTAATTCATTACAGCTGTCTCGAGGTGGACTGCTTTCAAATAAAAAATGATTTAATTGGGTTGGAAGCTTCTGTTTCAAGTATCCATGTCGAGAATGATGGAATTTAAGCCGTAAACTTGAGTCATTTTGAGGATTTCGCAGATTAAGTGGGACACAATGTAGGACCCATTCTCAATGCGGAGCAGCATTAAATTGTTTTAAGGAATCTAGTTATTTTGTAAAATGCAACAATAAATGGATCAAATATATTTTAAATCGAAAAAGTCATTTCGCTTGGAATGACGTCAACTTTTTTGAAATGATCTTAATTAGTTTCCCCGAAATATAAAAATGTTTTAAGCACAAAATCGCGACGCTTAAGTCGTTGCCTGGGTTAGGCAAAAGCCCTAGCTGCAATAAAACTGAAGCCAATAGAAGTTAAAAGATGTGGTGGGTGGGTTTATGCACGCAAGTTTAAATCACCGCTATTATTGTAGAACATTATTTAAGAAAACTGTTTCAGGAACCAAGGGCCCCGGGAACGAACATTAAAGAGTTTGATTAAAAGTTGCTTCACATATAAAAGTTTTTGTGTCTGTGGTACTCGAAATAAATATGTAATTAAATCTTAGTGATTTACGATCTTAAAACATCACTCTATTATGCTAACAAATATCTTCCTTGGCTTCAGTCTGTACTGTAGTTGTCATTGATTGGTAACAACTTATGGGGATAAACATAGCGTAATTAAGCTTTCAGTAACTAGTCTTCAAAGTGACTGGTGGCAAATGTGTATACATGGATTAACAACACAAACTAACGGTTCCGTATGATCTAGTATGCAGTCTTTTTAGTCATGACGTTTAAGCTGCCAAATTATCACAAAAGGGAGTAGATTGGAAATTTTATTAATAAATAAATTATAAAATTGTGCTATTTCGCGTTTAAAATTTAATATTGTTCAATTGTCGTGCAGAACCCAAGTGAGGTTGCCCTTCTTAAGTATAATCGTTGAAACGAGTTCCCTTTCAATTGGCAATATTGTCATACTTGGGAAATTACTGTTTTAAAAGAGGGTTTGTGTATCGATAGTTGATCTGGACTGCGATCTAAAAAAAATACCTTGTCTCTCTATTCCGGGGTTTTGCGTTGATGGAGCATCTAAACTATAAATTGATGTAAACGTACTTCATCTAACAAACAAGAATGAGAAAACTAAAGATAGTGAAAACAGTTTAATACAAGTTTTATGGGTTACCAATCTAGTATAGATTAAACAATAATCAGTAAAATTTAAACTGAGTCTCATCGGATTCAAACTCCCACGCGCATATTAAAATAGGCAACACTTCCAATATTTTAGATGTAATTTATTTGCAGTTAATCCCTAGTTTCTGGTGCAGAAAACCAAGCCAAAACTCGGTGCAAGGCAAAGTCCAGCCGTACTAGTTTCACTGTTGAGGTTTCTGGGTTACAGTTCCTCCCAGAAGTCGGCACCATCCCATAAAAGTTAATTTAGCGATAATATATGTGATCAGTGAATGTTATCACGATACCATTGTACTACACGTGTCTATACAAAAAAACGTGAAATCAGCAGGTAAATTTCGTGTTCACGACACAAACTAACGAAGTTTAACGCAGAGCTAAAAGCAGATTTTGGTCTTTATTTTACAAACAAATACACCAGTTATTTCAATTCCGACAACAGAGTTATGATTGAAATGTAATGTAAAATGAGTCTAGGGCTATTGCTCTGTTATGTCGATAAAAGTCGTGTAAAGTGGCTGCTGACACAGTGTGAGATGGCTTTCTTTTGGATAAGATGTTGGATGATTTAAGTTACCATTCATCAAGCGCTTTTACCAGTTATATAGGGAAGATGTAGCGGATCAGCTATCCCATTTGCCATGATAAACCCAGGCACGTCTTCCAATTTTCACCCAAAAACCGACGATCTCCTCGTATCAATGACCTATAATGATACCACGGACTATTGATTTGTAGTGGACGTTCAGTGACGCGAATGAGCATAAGTTTGTCTGAACAGGTTTACCACAAGTTGACTAGCTTGTGACTCACGCATACCTTTCTCACACACGGCATATAATTCTCGAGCCCTAGAATGAGCGGGACAGGTGCAACAAGATAGGCTTTGTTGAGATACTACAGACACGCACCATCCGACAGTTGCAGTCGTCCCAACTTCGCCTCAGTGAATGCGCCTTCCATTAAACAGGTGTTTCTCCACAATCATTGTTTCTGGTTGGCTGCTGCTGCTGCTCTGCCTCACAGGCCATTGAATCAGGCGGAGGATTGACTTATCTCCTAGCGAGATTCAATATGGGTGCGGCCATTACCGGTACTACGGTGGACGCAAAATGACAAATCATGCCTTGAGAGAGATAAGCGGTTGTTCCACCTTATCGTGTCACCCTCCCTCCACCTCTTTTGTTCTCGGGTTTTTTGGGATGCCAATGTGCAAAATGGTTGGTGCGTAGCTTGTCCATAAAAATCGAATTTACTTCTCTGTACTAAAACATCGTGCACGATATGACTCATTCTCTGGTGGAGCCAAACTAAACCCAAGAATAGAATGATAGCTAAATTATTAGCTTTAGATACTCTTTTGGGCTTGCAAAACATGATGACTTTGAGCGGTGTCTGTTTATGCATTTGCTATCTTTTCCTTGGCAGAGTAAAACTCCTCGTGTGCTTCCTTTGACAGATAAAGTGATTTCTTCGGCTGAAATAACTGAGAAGCTCTCGCCATTCTTTATTCATGGACCATCTAGAGTAATGCTCATTCTTTTGCATTCATTGCATCAGATAAAATGAATCACCGTTACGCCTTACCGATACACAGATGAGAGGCATTAAATGCAGGCAATCGGACCCCTTATTTTTAGCTCGTCAACGAATTTCCCGCACCGGCACCCAGATAAAACACTTATCAGTCAGCGCCTCCACAAACTGGGACAAAACATGACCAAGAGTCTTCAGTGCCTCAGCCGAAGGCTGAGTGCACCTTCACATGGGTCCACTTATGACGTAAGTGGCCTTGAGTGCATTTTAGGATAATAGTACACTCAAAAGTGAATGGGTCGATAGGAAGAGGACGAATCACATCGGGGCCGCCATGTTGTAATTGACCAGATTAACCTACGAAGATAAAGAGGACTGAAGATGACGGTGATAACCGCTTTCAGGGTGGCTCAACTTAGCTAGGTTTATGTGAATTCAAGATCGCGTGTTTTCATGGGTCACAAACATTTCAGGTGGGGGAGTGACAACTGAAGATTGCTGACGAACAAGGCTCGTGTGATCTAGTAAGTGTACAAACATCTGGAAGACAAAGTGCGTGATTGGAGTGCCAGGGCAGATATGTGCACAGAAGTGCATGAACAGACCTGTCCGCAGGATTGATGGGAGTGCTCTAGAGATGGGGAGGCGTTTCTGAGCGCTCGACGGCGGTTGATTGGACTCAATCGTCACGATTCTCACTGCTTTTACTATTTCACGCTGATTCTAATTTTTAGTACCTACCAATAACTCTATTCGAACAACGGTCCCTGTGTTGCCTAGGCTGTTAGCACTCCCTCTGACGCCAGTCCATGGCTCTTAGTTTTGTGCCCCAGCCTTTATTTTTTTACTTAAGGCCTTTAAAGCTATGTCTTTGTAAAAAAAATCAAGTTAAGACATTTGCCGCCTTTGAGGGTATGATGCGCCGATGTTCTGTTAATCTCAGTTCATAACAATAAATTTCCTCCCGATTTATTGCCCAATTCATCGGCAATTTAGAATCTTCCGTTCCCACTGAACTCCGTTAGTGAGGAGATAGAAATGGGTGAATGTGCGACTGCTAGAGGTTAAGTCACTTTTCTGAGAGATTAATCTATTAAACAGTTGAAGGCTAACCTAACATTAACAAGGAAATATTTAAGTATAGAATTTTAAACCGATTGCTTTGTCCAGAACATACCACTAGAATGTTTGCCTGCTTTTTTTCATTTTGTGGTTGGGGACAGTAATTTTTGGCTTAGAAAGTTCGGTTAGTGAGCCATTTAGATTTATGACTTTATTAAAGAATTCTGGAGAATTATGCAAGCCCAACAATAACGCAGGTGGCTTCTCTTAAGTACTGCCTTAATAGCCAACTTTGGTGGACTTCATGAGTTCCTAAAAAGGTAACTTCAAGTAGTGGGCATAAATTTTGCGAAGCAGGGGTTCCAAAAAATTTCTATTTAAGCCTCAAGCAGATTTGCTCAAAGTTCTTTGAATATATTAAATTCCCATTTTTGTTCTCCCTCTTTTGTACATTTACTTAGTTAACAACAAGACCACACCACCTACGTTCACTTTTAAAGGTAATGTTTTATACAACCGACGTTTCAATACTAATTGTTTCGAATCCAGAAAATTCATAAGTCTAGATTTGTTTTAAATGACTACACTTTTGTCACTTTTACTTCTGGAGAAATTTATCCCCTGGTCAGAGAATTTAAAGGTTGCGACTTTGGATCAAAACAAAAAGATTGCCAATTTTTTCGCAAGTGGGTTTCGATATATTGACCATGATTTCATTCTGATGGGTTATGCTTTATTTTCATAAAACAATTTCCTTGAATTTAATTCGCTAGGCCTATTACCTGAAAAATAATCGATGCATTTGACCTTAGCATTCATGCCTTATTTCACATTCTCGCGCAGAGTAAGCGACTGTGCTGATTGGTCGAGTGCCTCTCCAATAGTGATTATGCAAAGGAAAAGACCTAGTCTACAAATCGTCTTCTTCTTTTCTTACAGGCACGATGACAGAGAAGGTCGCTTTAGAGGATAGAACGTCCACAAGAGTGTGTGCATGTTGCTCGTCTGCGTGTTGCACTAATTGCTGCGACGAATTTGGTCGAAAAGTACTCCAAAAGAAGCCAATCAGCATTGATCTTGGGCAACTACTACGGACTCAACTCAACCGATGCCTCCGAACAGTGGACCTTATTGGCTACGGAATAGGTATGCTAGACTGGTTTTAGTTCTCATTATTAGTTATGGAGCAAGCTTTAACTTTAGAATTTGTCCACGAAGATTGTCCGCCAAAGGATATCATAAAGCGCTTTTTTCAAGCTCAAAATTGACAGCATTGATAAAATGCACCGGGAGAAACCGGTTGAAGTGATAACCATAACAGGACTATAGAGATCGATGGATTTTCATGTGCTTGATTTACTTGTCTTATTTTCTCTCTGGTCATCTAAGGGACGATTTACCCTCGAGTACATTCATCCAGTTTATGCAACAATTCATGATAATAAGCTTATATTATTCTAAAAAAATCAAATACATACTGATGTCATACAGCATGGGTGGAATAGCTATTCCCTGCGGATTTGACTGAAATTGTTACTAAATCGTCAAAAGTCTTGTAAATAGGGTGCCCTTCTAATGACTGGCTTCTTTGAAGTCGCTCTTTGTAAAGACAGTGTTTATAATTAAGGTACAATTATGGTTTAAAACGTCTGTGCTGCTACCAAAAACGTCCCCAAGCACCCATTAACCATGCCTAGGGTCACTCAAAGAATTGAGACAGGGCTTAGGGTGTTTAAATATGATGCAAATTTGACAACTTTTAGATAAATTTAAATATTCTTGGAAGCAGTTTCCCTCTGTACAAATACACTTGGTCACGTTCTGTTGTTTAGTCAGTGCTGATGAACTGACTGTCAGCTTTGTTAAACCATGAATCTAGCGGGTCTTTTTCGGTCATGGAGCTTCTCGTAGTAAAACATAGTTTATTTGAATGCATTATTCACTCTCGGTTAAGACATGACGGCTGTAAGTGCTCCGTGCGGTCCCAATCAGCCAAAACAGAACCTATGTGCCTCTTGATTACTATGTCTATGCCTCTTGAAATATTTTGTTATTGCCCAATTCTACTTAAACTCATGCCGGTGCGCCATTTTTCTGCATTTGTCATTGGTCAGAGTGAGATCTAACACGCTTCACAAGCTGTAAGTAATCGTGTTTGAGCTATTATTTAAATAGTTTTCTAAGCTGATTTACTTTTTATGCTTATTGCATTTCAAATTATGCCTTCGCCTGTTTGTGAGTTTAAGTCATTTTCCCCTTCTTGATTTTCCCGTACAACGAGGTGGCAGATGTGTTATTTATTAGCGTATTTGTAGTATGAAATCGGTCCATTGATAACGTGTCCTAATTTTCCACAAAAGTTCACTAACCTCTCTGTGCCCAGAATGGGCTGAAATCGACCACATATTTGACATCAAAGGCATCCTGACCACCAATATGTGATCTGAGACAGTTCTCGCATGAAGCGTCGCACACTGCGTATGGGTAATCACGAAGACTTTGGTACTCAACGTCCGTCATGTCTCACATATGAGGGAAAGAGATTACGTAACGTAACTAGGACCAATAACGTCCTGAAACAAAATCATTCATGGCCTATAGCTTTAAAAAAGCCACTTCAGTTACGCTGCTTTTTCAAACAAAAATAATTACATTATGTCGGTGTAAACTTAGTGTCAGCTTACAATGTTTTCAGATTAATTATCATAAGCTATGATTAGGAAGAGGTTTATTTTTGAGTAAAACCTCCGTTGCAATATGTTTAAATTGGCTAGTATGACATCTGAAACAACAAGAATCTTAGCAAACATCCAAACGCTGATGGAGTTTGCACCAATCTAATATTTTACACATTTCTTCAGTTTTCTTCCAAAAAAGTGTATAAAAACTGAATCCAAAGTATCCGAACTAAATAGGCTCAATGTTCTTAGGGGGCTGTGGCTCACATAGACGGACTGGGAAATGTAATGATCATCCATTTGATACTCATCCCACCGTAGTTGCAAAGTTTGATAGTTTATCAGAGTGTTGCACTAACAACGTAAATAAAAGCAAACTTTTTTGCCATTTAGCATCGATGCTCGGTGGTACAATATTTGTGCTTTCCGGAACGGTGGCAAGAAACAAATCCGGTCCGGGGACTTTTGTGGCCTACGTTCTTGCCGGTGTTGTGGCTCTGTTGAATGCTCTGAACTATGCAGAATTGGCATGCCGTTTTCCCAAGGTCAGTTTGAACACTATGTGAATTAAAACGGGCCAAATCCCATTCAAACTTCGGAATAATTACCTTTTAATTAGTTCTTTTTGATTCGTACACAACTTTACCCATTTCCTTCCGCCATCGATTGGTACTAAGACCGGAACCCTTCCCCCGTTGAAGTGTAATGTCAACTCATGAATAGTTCATTAATCCGATACCTAACTTAAGGCACTGGCGAATCAATGTAACAGCAATATTGTTGGCTACTGATCAAGAAAATACGATTGACTCCCCGAATAAGGGGCTATTTGAGTGCTTGTGCCTGATAAGTTCTTCTCGGCAGACAGAAGGAATTAGTTCGCACTTAGGCACGTTGCTTTTGTTATTCTCACGTCACAAAACCTTTTCTAATGTTACTTCATCTTTGCTCTTCACCTATTCTGGCCACCTCACTTCGTTTTGTTAACAGGCCCTCGTGTTTGACGAGTGCTTTTAGCTTCCGCCTGAACGTTTGCAATTAGAGGTGCAGTTCCGTGCATTCTCCGGGTTTTCCGGCAAAAACTGATTCATAACTTAATGCCAATGGGAAAGCGGGATTTAAAACTGGTGGATAAATTTAACTTCTGTAATAGTGGCTTCGATAACTTTCCTCTAGTTGGGATTTTGATGCCGCAGACAAGGGGTGGGCTGGTGGCTCTATTGATATGCAAAAACTATTAAGTAATACACAAGCTCTCTAAATAGAAATGGCTTAAAGCGTTTCGAAATATCAGTAATTAATCTGCTCAAAAGTAAGTGAAAAAGAGTTCTTGTTCCGAACGCATTGCAACAAGTCGTAACTCATTTTCGTTTATGTGCTTAGTCCTAAATTTTAATAACCAGCAGTGACGTCAAACCGTTAACGACGGGTTAGCAACCAGTTCCTCCTACAAAATGTAGTCCTTCCGCTTGCATTTGTGAAGTAGTACTTGCCCTGTATTATCGACAGACAGCCTGCATGTTAACTACACGATAACTTTTATATTTGTTTAATCCCAGCACTTTCAGTTTACTGTCATCTGACTTATACTCACACCAAAGGCCTTAAGTTTTTCACAGAGTTCATTTCCTCATTTTGTATCACGAGGCCTTTTGCGTCGCAAAGCGTCATACACCAAACGAACATCCTACATACTGTGTGAACGCAACGTGTTGCATAAGCTGGTGTGCACTGAATAATTGATAGGTTGTTGTTCTTCTTATTGACTGAATTGTTCAACTGCAAATACCTGGAATGCCTTTGCTCACATTAACCTTGCATTTACAATCCATAAATATATGCACAATTTCAAACAGAGATGCAATTTAAATCCATCATTTGAATTTGTTAAATTACTACTGCACAATTTATGCTGCAAATGAAACAGCAAAAAAGCATTGTGCATGCACGAACAGCGAAATTTAGGCACACTGTGTGGTTTGTTGATCACCACCTAAAGCATAAGAACCAGACATTCAGCGAATTCATTAGTAGTGAAAGGAGTAAAAATAGTAATTCTAAATACATATCTTCATGTGCAATCATATAAATGAATTTAATTTGAACCACCAAACTCCGTTCTCTAATACTTTATTTTTGTAGGCATGATCTAATCTTTTTTTAACACAGCTTGTTCGTGCGGATTTCCCTTTTCAGGCTGGATCCACATACACCTACGCTTATGTTTTGCTAGGCGAAATGCCAGCGTTTTTGGCCGGTTGGTCAATCTTTCTCGAGTATATTTTGGGCATGTCTACTGTTGCAAGGGGCTGGAGTAGCTCTCTCGATTCTCTAACTCGAGGAGCTATAGCTAATTGGACAGCTGTCCATATTGGGAGGTATGAATTCAAAAGGATGTCTTTGCTTGTTGTTTTTTTGTAGTTAGTTGTTGCAGGGTTGTTTTTTAGGTTCGACCACGCCAACAATTTCTTCGCTGAACAACTGGATTTTGTTGCTGCTGCGTTGGTAATCATAGTAGTGATCACTACCTGTTTCGGTATTGAAAAAAGCTCTTGGTTGAACCTCGTTTTCACCTCGGTTAACGTTTTGGCCCTTACCTTAGTATCTGTGTTCATGCTTGTTTATGCTCAACCCAATCTCCTTTTACTCCCTCTCCCTGAAAACACCACCTCGACTTCTAGTCTTCCACTGGACACCTTAACGCCTTTTCTGCCCTACGGCGTGTCTGGGTTAATTGCAGCTACTGCTACTTGTTTCAATGCTTACATCGGCTTTGACATGATGTCTATGTGTGCTGAAGAAGTTGCAGATCCAGGAAAAAGCATCCCGCGGGCCAACGTGATCTCTGTTTCCATCGTAACACTGCTGCTGTGCATGGCAGCCATTTCATTGACTATGTACATCCCTTGGTTCAGCTTAGACGTGGGAGCTCCCTTTCTGGAGGCGATGCAGGTGGGCCCCGGCAACGCGATAGCTAGAACAGTGCTGTTCTACGTTGTAGGGGTCGGTTGTCTTATTGGAATATCCTCCAACCTCCTAACCAATGCCATTGCTGCACCTAGGATGTTGTATGCGATGGGACAAGACGGACTGGTGTTTGTTTGGCTCGCTAGGGTTACAGAGCCATTCAAGGTGAGGAAGACGAGCAAAAGTGCAATTGCTTAGTTTGAGTTGTTGAATATAGTGCATTTTGGATGTGTGAGTACTGAGCCACCTTAAAACTTTTCGGATAATTTTGTTAAGAAATAATGCATTTAAAAATTGTTTGCATTGTACGATGGTAAACGTAAATTTGGGGTTTATTTTAAGCACCCTATTCCAACCTTAAAAGGTTTACTAGTTCCATAATGGAAGCATGTTATAGTTTTCGAACTTTAACTATATAGATTTTCGGTACCCAGAGGCCCTGTTATTAAGGAAAACTATAGTAATTCCTATTTTATATGCCGAACCTTTATCATAATTTTTTGAATTTCTAAAGAAACATTTAGGTATAAAGCCTACTGGCTTCTCCTAACAATCTTTACCACAAAACATTGAAAATTAATACGAATCTTTAGTATGGGTAAATAGAAGTTGAGCGAGTTTAAGGTTATATAAACCCGTGGAGATGATAGTTTTCTTCTAACGCATATATCTATTTCTGTCAACTCTTCGGGTGACTATTTTACAGGGAAATTTAAAGGAAATTATTAAAACCTGCGTTTTATTTGGCAGCTTTAAGATATCAAATCATAACAACTCGCTTTTCATGGACTACTTTAGTGTTTGTGAAACATATCTAGGAGAGAGCAAGAAAATTTTTCAAGGGATATTTTAAACACAGGACCTCTTGTAGTAATTAGAAATGGTGCCGTAACTATAACAATTCTTCTACCAACTTATAATTATGATAATTTGATATATAATGCATTTTCAGTTATCTCAATATTCGGGATTTTTCTGAAGTATTGTATTAAGACAAGCTATTTCCGTGCATTTGTCCTACCAATGAGGTTATATCAGCCTTTTATTTGCTTTTACCACAACCTTTTAAGCGAACAACAACGAGTTAATCATCGTTAGGACAAAATTCTATATTGCGAAACGATTTTTCCCAGAAGGTAACATTTTAAGCGTTTCTGTTAGTTATTTCCCCCTCTATGTTAACTTCCGAAAAATTTACTAATGTCACAAGTACTTTTTTGTTTCCTTCAACAATGGATGGTTTAGTTTATACTGGTGATCAATGTTCATCGCTATCTGAACCAACAGATTGACGTTTAGCGATGGAAACTGATAATTTTTTGTTATTTTCATTGTTCAATGTTTGGTTATTCGCTGGAGATCGTGTCTGCAAAATCGGAAAATTTAGTATGTCTATTGTAATCAAGTTGGCTGATCTTATAACTCTAGATTACCAGACATTGAAAACACATTTTCTGATATCTTCATTTCTATGGTCAAACGTTTCGCCCACAATGTATGGCCTCACGGTCACTCATTATTGTGCTTAACTCGAAGTGTTTGGACGTTGAACAACTAATTATTTAACTCCTGGTCTTATACATTGTTATTTGATGATTTTCTTACCGAACTTGTAGACACCCATGGTGGCAAGCGTTCCTGTGGCCGTAATAGCGTCTGTCCTTGCTCTAATATTCAGCATTTGTAGTCTGGCTGACTTTCTTAGTCTGGGCACTTTAATCGCCTACTCGATGTCTGCAATTGGAGTGCTCATCCTGCGTTATTGCCCCGCACCCGAAAAGGTCGTGGGAGCTAATTTTCCCAAGCCCTTGTCCTCGTCGGAAAATGACAGAGAAAAGGAGGAACTCGCTAAGAAATACGGCGACGTCCACAATGTACGTTCTGGTAATTTGTGCTTGGTAATTTATGTCAAATGCTAGTAGTGCCATGAAAAGTGGGTTGAGGGACTGAGTGAATGAGGATAATGATGAGGTACCTGAGGAGGTAGACTTGTTCAATAGATCTCATGCTTCACTGCTCTCAGTCCCATCACGTCGAGTGAGTGACAAACTTGTCATGGTTTGTGTAGGTGTGGTCAGTTAACAGATGCCGATGGTTCAAGTTCTGTAGACTTTCATCGGGCCATTATTCTCTTTCAACTACAGTCAACATAACAATAGATCAGTGAAGCATTTTACCACAATTTCTGCATATCTGTCAGTCGATGGTACAAATTTATTTACTAAAGTTAAAAAGGTGAAAACACCACTTATTTGTCTAAGGAACAACCCATGAACATCGCAATAGGTGGTCTTCTTACATTTAATGTGGAGATTCTTCCTTCCAAGTCTTGTATTTTCTAAAAAAATATGCAAATTAACATTAATGATACGTCTAAACATCAATAAAGTCAAATCAGGCAAGTTAGATTTCTCAAATATTTCGATTTTGCAAAATTTAATCCAAAGTAGATGGATAAAAAGCTAAGCTTCATTAAGAGAGCCATAAATTGAATATATCTAGAGTCTAAATTATCGCTCCCATCTTTTTAATGTGATTCCAGCTAGCTACATCACAACGCCTCCGAATTGGTTCCCTGAGAAAAAATTGAACTAGTAGATTCAGAGATTAAAACAACCATTAAAACTATGCAGCATGCACATTTCTCTATGGAAGGTGTCTTTTCTAATTGTTAAGCATAACCATGCTTCTAAAGCTGCAAAGAAGTCGCGGATCAAACTAGCCCAAGGGTAATTTTGACAAACTGGTCATATTTATCCGTGGTCTTTTGAACAATTACTACCATAGATGAATTCATTAAATGTAGGTAGTACATGATTTATCTTTTGAAGTAAAACCTCAGATCCCAACAATTGGCTTCTATTAAAGTGGTAAGTCGGGTTGTACTTGAAGACAACAGATGAACTTTTTACATTAGTGACTCTTACCTGAGTGCAAAATCCTAATGGATTTTCCTAAGAGTTTAAAATTTTTGAAATTGCCAGTTTTCTGTTATTCGCTCAAATACACGCCACTTCTTATGGGGTCTTCAGTGTGCAGAAGGATGGTTACGTAACATTGTTTCACATTCAATCAGGGGTGTACTTTATGGCAGTAACTACGTGCAAAGGCGTCTCCAATTTATACCCAGTCAATAATCTAGGTTTGGGGTGCCGCTTTCACCACGGCTACTGGACTCAGAACTCAAACACAATCCCTTCTGTTTTGGTCAAGTTTTCATATGAAGATTGTCATCTTGTAACATCTTGTCATCTTTTCAAAGTATAAAACCGGATTATAAACAAAAAATATTTTAGTCAACTCCAATGCACGAACAAATATTCGATGGCTTTAGTTAAATTTTCGACATTGCAGAAAAATTCTTCCCAATCATCCGCCATCAATTCGAATATTTAATGGTAGTCTGAACATGTGGTGCAGAACAGAGTTTGGATGAAGAACAGTCAGATTCTGTTGGGAGTAAAGGTGTGCTACTCGGCGTAAGAGGATAGTAGGAAGGGGAGTGAGGGCAAAAAACGTGTGGGCACTGAGACCTTCGAGGAATCGGAGCGTGGGACATGGAGCGTATGCCGGAGTTTATGGCACCTATCCACTCGGCCGCGAGGTCCCAATCAGACACCTTGTGACTGGCGGATAGACACATGCCGTGTCGGCGGCAGCATGAAGACTGGGTTTTGGTGATTGGGCGTCGTGACGGGATGGCAACGCGGACGCTAATCTGATTAGTTAGTTCTTCCAGGTCAAAATGCGTGTGTGTGTGCGTGCGGTTGTGCAGTCAATGCCCAGCCTGTTTCTTGTGCCCACGCTCAGATACTTTTAAGATAAGTCTCTGCCATGGTTCATTAGATATGCCAAACATTTTGTCCCAGGCATAATCGGTGTTGATTACCTACCGCGAAAACGCGAAGTTCATTTAGTAACCACACTTGTTCAATTGAGGGCGCTAAGGCTAAGTAACTAGCAGTTGAACTCACTTGTTATCCGGAAAAATAGTCTAAGGCATGTATTCGTTATTCAAAAATGCTCAGTGATTCCTGTAAACAAGCACACTAAAACCAGCGGCAACGTTAGTAGCTGGGATGAAAGAATGGATAAAGAAGCCAGACTCTGGTTCAGAAAACAATTACAGGACTAACTAATTTTAAATTATTGGACCAAAGTAAACCATTCCCCACTAATAAATAATCAATGATGGCTTCCCATCACCTACTAACGAGACCGCGAAGATACGCGATTGTCCCGCAATGACCTTTGTGAAAGGTATGTCCACTTTCTGCTTCCATTCTGTGTGCTTCCTCGTTGTTGGATGAATTCACTTGTCCGAATTTCACGCTATGTGACTCGTAACCGGATCAATAGCCAATCCAGTTGCTATTCACAAATGCAGCTATCTTGGTGATAACGTTCTCCATGATTGTTCCAATAAGCATGTCATAAACTGGTGCCGTTGCCGTATTCTCTTTAGTGTACACCCACGATATTATTTAGAGCAAGTCATCGAAGCCAAAAAGCCAAGTCTCTTGAACGGCCCTAAATCATCTGATATTCTCCTGTTTCGGTCCTCCATTCACGATATCACGAGAATCAGTGCTTTTGTCGAGTCCAGCCAACTGAGTGATGTGACTTGTCTCTGTGAACTAGCCAGCCATTTGCAATGCCAAATCTGTTGCAGATGGTGAATGCGATCAACGCTCTATTTTTATATTGCGTGCACTGCTTTTTGGCGAAGCGATAAAGTGGTTTTGAATCGAGTTGCGACTACGTTACTGCTGCATAACTTGCTGATAAACAGCCTTAATCCACAAGGACATAAGCATATCTTTAAATAACATTACATTCTCCGGGCAGTAATCTTTGGCTTAACTGAACTAAACAACCGCGACACATGGAATTCGCAAGAAAGGGTGCAGAGAAGACTACATTTATAACCTCAAGACTGCCACAGTACGCCACGAATTACTGTTGTTAGCAAGGTAAATTTCATATACATGTAGACGATACATACATGTCGTGTATAAGTTAATAGCATGAATTAACGTAGATTTGACCTGGAAATGCCTAATCCTGGTAAGTGATGAAGATTTGCCAGCTCTGTGATTGTGTTGACTGAGCCAAACCCACGATAACCATGTTGGGAGTTAGCAGACGAAATGAACTCTCAAACTAGCTATCACTCATCTATTAAAATTAGGCCAAGAACGCAAGCTAGGAGCATTGTATCATCATGACGCGGTAACTGATGCCTCTTAACGACCTGCGGCTAACATTTTTACCCAAGTAAAAAGTGATTTGTGTATGAATATAATGTCAAAATATGACAATTGCTTAACGAGGATCATTATGCAGAACTCAGATGCGGTTTGTTTCTAGATCGGAATTTGCCGTTCCGATCTGTTACTATGACACGAAGTCTACACCTTAGTTGCATCCAGTCACTAATTTTATGTTGACTGGATCATCCCCGACTTGTTTCCTTGAGTTGGCCAAAATTGTACGCAATAATAAAATTTTAAATTGCCTTAAATTGGCTAGGTCTTATTAAAAATGATGGCAAGAGTAAATTGCATTCACTGCAAATCATAAACCAACTCAGGTGAATCGTCTTCATTTGTTGTTTTCGGTTTTCTATTGTTTTTTGTTGGAGACGTTGGGGATATCCCTTCAATTAACTCCATTAATGATTTCTCTTGCATCACGATAGCATCGTACCCTCATAATAATTCAATGTCATAGCTTGTGTGAGTGCATGTGAGTGTTGGTTGAGTTTAATTGTCACTGTATACACTTGAACACATGTGTAGTGCGTGAAGCTTACTGATTTGTCGAGCCACCGTGTGTTAATGTTACTTTGCATAATCTGTGTTAAGTTGAAATATAATCAATGAAATCGAATCATATTGAAGCTCTACAAGTTAGCCTTATAGCAAAATTATTTAGTTAGACCAAAAGATCAGAAGTAAAAGGCCACTTGAAATTTGGTATCCAAACAAACAAAAATGCACGTATTTAAAAATGCTATTAATTTTCAATTAGACTGTCAAATCAGATATTTAAGAGAATACACAATAAATACAGCAAGCTTATCACTAAGTCGTGCATTTAGCCATTTCAAGATGCTTTTTTAATATACCCCATCAAGGAGCGACTTCTGATGAATTGGCGTGTTCGTGTTAAGGTTTTGGAACACGAATAAAAAGAAAAGCATTAAGCGACCGCTTTTCCTTGACAGGATTCGAAAGGAAACCCTGCTCAATCAGACCCGGTATGCATTTCGGCTTCTAGGATTGACAAGCCCGGCTACCTGAAAAAAAGTTGGGCTGCTTGGCTTCCCCAGAGTCTGGTAGAACGAATGACCGTTAATCGCGGTCCTGGTGAGGTCTGCAAAGTCAACATGGGCATCTTCGTAGTCTTCGTTCTCTTACTTCACGTCACGGTTCTCATTATTCCCCAGACGGCACCTTACGGTTGGAGTTACTGGCGAATGGCGGGTGCTGTGCTCTGGCTACTGGCTTTGGCACTGTGTGTCCTTGTTTTTTCCATGCACCAACAATTTAGCGCTCCGCGACCCAACACTTTTCGGGTAAGACCAATGTAATTTAAGACCAAGTTAGTTTTGCTTGTTTCATTAGTAGTCACGTTTATCAGGTTAACTTTCAAAATCTACTTTTAACTAGTGCTTAACAGATCCCCTATTCAAACTTCATTGATAATTTTATGAAATTTACAAAACGCCTTGTTTGTTGTACAAGAAACTACATGTAAGCCCTCAACCCGATTCCTCGGGAAGTTGGCTATCTACTTCCAACTCCAAAATAGTTCTTAGAATTCACACGCCTATAAATAGGAGGAAGTAATACATGTTAACGAGCACTCCACAGGCCTTTAGGTTTCCTCGAGCCCAAACTGAATGCTCGGTGGCTTGCTGTGCAAAGGACAGTACGTGCAGTAAAAACGATTTTTGAGTGGTGGTGAAGTTGACCAAAGGTCACTGAAAGTTCATACGTCCGACAATAAATCATCCAGAACCTACAAGGATCGATAATGGGTGTCAGAACTGTAAAACCTCAAACAGTAGACTCCTTCTGTTAAATACTACAAGAAATTACCCGAACTATCGCGGGCCGACAGCAAAGGCGTGTAAGCCACAGCTTGCCCGAACAGGTTTGCCTAAAGTTGACTGGTGTCTGTGTCTCATCCCTGCCTTTCATAAAAGTGCTTATGTATGTGGGCAAAATGACGCAATATGAATAGTGGGCTGCGTCCACCTCGTCATTTGGCCTTCCCTTCTTTGGGTGTCAACATATTATAATGTAGCCTACCGCCGCTAAGGGAATTTGCAACGAAATCATTCTGTCTAAAGATTACGTTGTTTACAATAAATTCAACGTGAGGTTATGTGAAATTGAGAATGTTTCCCCTTAAGAAGTTTCGTAACCTTGAAGTCTCAAATAGGCCTAGAAAAATTAAGTTACCTTGTGATTCATTAAAAGCCGACCCAACGGGTATTGTTGTCACTTGAAAAAATCACGCAATGATGAAATATCAAAATGCACAGATATGCATTTTTTGTGAGGTCCTAGTAACTTCATTTTATTCGTCCATTCGTCAGTAGTGGTACCGATCTGTGTCCATAAAAAAAGATACTTATGTATCCATTTTTTACGAAAAATAGTAACTATTGTATTTTCTCAACATGGCAAGACCTGGGTCAGGTCTGTTTTCACATAAGACAACAAATTTAGTCTGGTTTTAATGTAAGATGTGAGTTAATTTCATGTTCTGGGGAGTCCCGCCAGCAAATCTTATTAGACGTTTTCAAACTTCACCTGCGTTATAAAGTAAGTAAGATTTAATCAAATCTGGTGGAAATACCACTACTGGAGTTATGTCACTGAAAACCTGTTATTTACAGCCTTTCAGCTTGGAGCTGTTTCGAAGCTGAAGGCAATGGGTTGAGTGCTCTGGCAAATTTGCCAGGGAAAATAGCAAAGCCTAGGCTTAGCTATGTTGTCCCAGAAACAATCGCTAAAATTTTGTACCTAAATAATGAATCCAAAATATCAATAAGTAAGTGTAATTTGCTACACCACAGTATTGTGCTTAAATGCATTTGGAGTTAAGGAGACTGCGGTCATTGGTATGTCATGTAGGCAAACAATAACCATCTACGAATCTTTGACGCCAAAGATTTCATCGACACTCCAATAAATGATGATGAAAGGACAAATCGGAACACTCAAAACGTGTTGGTATTCTGCACCATGGCGTTCTGTGAGCATAGGTTATCCAGTGAACAAGTTCCAAGAGACGCAGAAGTAAAACAGCGAACGAATAAAAAATAACACAGTAAACGTAACAAGGCGACGAAGGTAATTTCTCACGGTGACTTTAATGGAGAATTTCACTTTAAGTTTTTTGTCCGACCGCAGTTTGCCTCTCCCATTGTAGCTGCCTCTGGTACCATTTTTGCCCTGCGCGACCATCGTTTTCAACGCACTGTTGATCTCCCAGCTCTCGTGGATGACATGGGTTCGATTCCTAATTTGGGTACTAATGGGTGAGAAAAAATGTTTATAATTACGTGCCAACAAAATGCAAAACAATTATTTCGAGCCAAAAAAAACTTCTGACAAAAATGGCTGAAATTTACTAGTTCACATTCGTCATCTTGTGATTTCGTTCATGGTACCCAGATTTAAAAAATAGTGGAAAAAAATAATTGTGTTGTCAGCGCTTAGACGAAAACCTCTCATTCATGTCATTCTAAGCTGGCAAACTTGTAAATCAAGAAAGCTAAAGGTGTAATGTTTTCATTGAATTCGACTAAGTGATTTGCGGAGAGTCCACGGAGGTGAGTAAACAGGGACACTGGTCTTACATGATTCCACAAAATTCCCCATAAAACGAAGTGTAATGATAATTAAAATTCTAAAACAGTCCATGTTATTGCAACTCGCATTTCATTACTTTTCACTAATTAGTGCCATCGCTATCTCTCTTAGTGTAAGTATCTCCCTTTTACTTGGACTAGTTCGTTTTGAACAGAGCAAAATGCACTAAAACAAAAGGTTTCATTTGTGAAACAAAACTTGCTTTCCGTCAAGGCCAATTGTGCCTATAATGCAATTATAAACACCTGCAACACCTTGCTCCGCGGTTGTGCACGCCCCGGAGTCACTCATACAAGACCCATTCTGCTTAATAATAGGAAACTACCCACCTCCTGTGACAAGGCGTCGTTTGAATGAAATTGCTCTTGAGTGGTTTCTTAAAGAGTACAAGTTGATTACTAACATGCCAGTAATTTGATTTTTCAAGTATGCGTTTTGATTAAGAAGAAACAGACCTTGGCATTTAATTTAAAATATGTTATACAACGTATTTTGCTATTTTAGGTGCCTTAATTTACGTTGCTTATGGTGTGTGGCACAGTAACCCGGCAGACAACACGGAAAGCGATGTTCTGCTGGGGGAAAAGGATTAACCGAGTCCTGGTTTTTGGCTTCGATACGACCTTTATATTATTCCTAATTTTGCTTTAAATTTTCCATCTGAAAACAAATTCTGTTTTCTACTGCTTTTGTTCAATAAAATAAACGAGAATTTATCTCTTAAATCTAACGTGATATTGAAGTAGTACGATTTACACTAATTCAACTGACCTTAATCATAACTCGAGTAAACTGATTTCCTACTGAATATTAATTTTTCGAATAAATTTTGCTGCAGTGGGCTGAATGTGTCCGGTTGAAGTTTTTGGTAAAGTTACCACAGTGATCTTCGAAATAGTAAAGCCTGATCCTGTTTCGACCGAACGAAACGCATTAAAAATAGGGACGAATAGTCTAATAGTTCTGATTTTTTAAATCAGGTCTGATCTTATTTCAAGTCGATTTCCTAATAAAATCAAAAATATCGATTTACTAAGGCAATTTATATTGATCAGTTCATACTATAACAAATAGATGCATATTCATAATTTATGTGCTAACATTTCTGCATATTCAGGCCAAACTACCTCCAGAAACTAACCATTATGAAAAATCAACTATAAATCAATGTGAACAAACCAGTTTCTCTGATGTATAAAAGTGCGGTAACGCTCTAACTAACTGAAGAGCGTCGTGTGAAGATAAGCTCCAAAAAGTGCCTGAATGTCGACTGCATAATAAATAAACATCGATCAAACACAGGTAATAGCAATGAATATTTGGGCAAATCGGGTTTCTGATGTTTAACGTTCTAGTCACAATTCTGTAATTCTCTCCTAGTAGCCATTTTTATTGCTTTATTGTCGGACAAAAAACACTGAGATGAAGCATTTTAAAGTTACAATAAATTTACAGAGGGCGATGGGACTATTTAGGGTTTGTGATGTATCAATATAGGGCGCCAACATATTAGATCATGTCCAGCTTAGCAAATCCTCTGGTCTTTCGAGTTTGAATAGCCAACAGGAAAAATCCGAATCCACTTTGAGACAAAGATAGATGAAAAGCATCATAAATGGGCGGCGAACCCAGTAAAGTGGACTCGGATGGACAGTCTTACGGACGGTTCTGGCTTGTGGTTTGTTGGTAAAGCTTGCTTTGTTGTGCATTTCTACTTAATTCTGGCGATCTGCATTCATACCTTCAATGGTTAAATTGTAAGCATTAAATACAGATTTTACACACACTGGACATACTTAATGACCCCTTAGTCTTTCTAAATGCAAATTTAGTGATATCGAACATTGTTCTTTTGTTAAAAATATTTCAAAGCAGCATTTTTCGATCGTAAATTTATAACAAGGTCAGCAGTAAGCGTCCCTAATCTGCTGGTCACCAATCAACGATTCTCAGCGGGATAATTATATCCAGAGCAATGCGAAACTCCTAGAGAGCCAGCAACTAAGTTGTCCCCTTGCCCCTTACAAAAAGCTATGTACTGTAATGTAAAATAACCTGACAAGTTATGTTAGTTATAAAAGCAGAAATTGGTATTTGTCTAGCACAAATTTTAGTGGCTTCAAAACCTATTGCATTCGAGAGAATTATTTACTTTAAAATGTTAGTATTTATCAGCATCCATTAAAAAAACAAAACACATCGAATCCACCGGGGAGGCACAATTATAGATGTTCAGGGACTAGACAAGAACACAAGTAAGGATTTATGAGTAATCGCCGAAAATTGATTTTAAGTAAAAAATTTCCTTTCTTATTTACAACATTTGTAAGTTGTTGGAATACCGACTGCTAGTAGAAGAAATATTAATCAGTGATCAAGTTTGTAGCACCGTAAAGGGCGCCTGCATGTTGAATTACGTCTGCCACAGACAATCTGTCTTCGTAAGTTTGAATGGCATACGTTAAAGATCAGAAGCGAACTAGAGACAGGAATAAGAAATAAAAAAAACACTATAATGGATTGAGAGCGCTGGCCAAAGTGTGGATCTTGTGGTCTGTCTGTTGTATTGTACAATTATTGTCCCTTCTCGAAAATGTCACAAGAGGGCTAAATATAGCTGCCTGACATGGCATTTGACCTAACAAAATTAATTTTTTTATAGAACTCAGCTTAAAATTAGTCGCTTTTAACTTAGACACAACAATTACCCAAATTGAGTAGTGACTACACAAATTAAATGCATAAAAATGATCCAAACAAGTGACATTTGGGTATAAAAACTACTAAAGTTATTCAAATGTGCACAAAATGTCACTACATCTCTATTTACAAAAATTAAATGTTAAAAAAGCATCTTGTCATGGTCGTTGATACGTGTAAGTTTATGCAATGATAAATAATTATTTGTACTTCAAAATTGGAAAATTCAGGGTCGTTTTTAGAAACTTTTTTAATAGATAGTTGAGTTCTACATAAAAAACTTTGCATAAAAGTACATTTATTTTTATCTAATACACGGATAAAATTTTTTTGAACAAAAATTCGTCGTACTTACCTGAAATGGTTTGCTAATTAAGGCATAACAACACTTTTTGAAAGAGCCGTCTAAATGAATACTAAAATGAGAAATGGAAAGAGACTTGTAAAGGATTAAATGCAATGACTTCTGAGTTATTTTTTGAAAATTCTAAGATTTTTCATCTGATTTCACGACTACTTGTTGCACACAATAAAGCATCTTTTTTATTTTATGTTCATTTAGTAAGTGAAAAATGATAAATGCAGTTAATTCCAAAATTTTATTGCATATCAATCTCAAATTTGCATATTAATTTTTTTCGAGAAAAGGCGTGTTTAAAGTCTCTCTTTTTGTGCACTTTTCGAGAGTGTGGTGCGTATGCTGTGTTATTTAGAGCGCGAATAACGTCCGGCGTCGTCAGCTCGTTTTCTTTGATTCTGAGTTGTGTGGTCAGTATGACTGCCCCCACTCTTGTTCTCCTCTCTTTCTTGGTTGCAGTGTCCTGTGGTCATTTTACTAACAATGAAGTAGTTCAAACAATTGTTGCGGATACTCACATTCTTCGTGTTGATGCTGAGGTTACCATCGACGTCCCTGATGTGGTTTCCGGCAATTATCATTATACTGTTGATCCTGATATCTATGGTCATTTGTCATTCATTGAAGCTAAGGTATTTTGTGTGATCGCGGGTTTCGTAATTTTTAGGATGATTCTGGTATCCCCTTGGCAATCGAAAATCTCGGCCAAATCTCAAAGTAGCGTTAAAATTTATCATATTTTGTAGTAAACCGACCTTTTCTATTTCTGTTCCCAATAAAAATTCGAACAAAAGTGTGACGTTCACGGTCTCCTCATTCTTCACGAGGATGCTTAAGCCAAAACCCGCCCAGATTTTTCAGGCGGATAAGCAGTTTGTGGAACTGGTTGTCAATCTGGCCTACTACTCCGCTTATTCAACAAAGCGTGTCACGTCCACAGTCATTTTAAGCGCTGGTGAAGTGTTGTTCTACAGCAGTGATGTTCAGCCTGTCAAAAGGAGTGCTTCCAAGATAAAATATGGTCCGTTTGAAAACCTTCCACCCTTCCATGAGGTATGACCACATTTCATGCTTTGGCATGTTTTAGCAAATGGCTAGATTCAATTATGAAAACAGCTCGCCGTTTTTGGTTGTGACTAACCTGGAACGAACTATCGAAGTTTCTCATTGGGGAAATATCGCAGTGGAAAATAAAATTTCGATGAAGCATTACGGTGCAAAGTTGATTGGCTCTTTCTCTCGGTTGGATTACCAGCGAGGCATTGGTCATAAAACCTCAGTTGCCTCCATTAAAGCGGTGTTGCCCGCTTCGGCCAGGGATATATATTATCGCGATGAGATTGGTAACATCAGCACCAGTAATGTAAGGTCGTTGTATGATTCGGTCGAGGTGGAACTTGCTCCACGTTTTCCACTATTTGGTGGTTGGAAAACATTCTTCATCTTTGGTTACAGTATTCCTGCTCATGAGAGCCTTTATAGAAAAGGTTTGTTTGCCAAATTTTGCTCTTACTGCCCAATTAACTAGTCGGTCGTCGCGTTAGTTGTTATATATGCAGGTCTGGTAATCTTTCAATTTCTAATAAACGACTGTCTCATATTCAAATGCAATGTACTGCTTTCCTAGGTGATCACTTCGGTCTCAAAATGAGCTTTGTTGATTACCTCTACGAGAACCAGTTAATTGATGAAATGACCCTTCGCATTGTTCTCCCCGAGACTGTCTCCAATGTCAGACTTGAGGCTCCGTTCGAAGTGAAGAGACTACCGGATGAAGTTTTAAAGACCTATCTAGATACATCTGGTCGAACTGTTCTTGTCATTCAGAAAACAAATCTTGTTGAAGGCCATATTCAGGATTTCGTTGTAAGCTCTAAACAGGAAACTCCGTTATTCGGTTATTTTCATGGTCGAATAATTAGGATGTGGATTTCAGTGGATCGACTCTGCTAACCTTAAAGACATTTAAACAGCTAAAGGGACCGAACTAGCTTTTAGGACTATTAGTAACTAAAAAATTGAATGACGTCGCCGTCGATGTTTGTGGGGGTACCAAGCTTCACTTCATCCAAAACACCGCGTCCTCTTCGATGTCCAGACTTTTTTATTTGCTAGGTTTACTACGACTTTAGTATGATGAGTATGTTTCGTGAGCCGGCAATGGTTATTGCTGCGTTTCTCCTGCTCTTCACTGCCGTTATTATCTACGCTCGCCTTGACTTTTCTCTTTCTGAGGTAAGAAAATCGTTTTACTCGTTTTGCACTGTTTAACTCTTCGAGTGGCCACATTTCCTGAGTGCTAAACTTATGCTTATTCGCAACCGGGTCAATATGTTAATTGAACTTGTGTTTTACAACCCATTCGATCCGTGCGTTGTTACCGTTCTCCGTACCTCGTGGGCTCGTCCTTGTTGGCCACTGACGTTTGTCTTAATTGCCGAAATTTCATCAGAATTGTTTATCTATGCCTTTGATTTGACAGGTTATATTATTAAATACCTCACTTCATTTTCAGTGTTTTCACAATTTGTTATCTCATAGGACCAAATAACTGAATTACAGCAGCGTGTCCAAGCGTCAGTTGATGAAGTTCTGAATCTACATAATCAACGTTCGGCAATATATCAAACGTACGAAGATGTAATCAGTAATTACAAAGCGAATAAGGATACCGATCGCTTCAAAGCCGAGCAACGCAAAGTAGAGGCTGAATACAGGGCTATATCTCAGAAAATCACCGCACTGCAGACCAAACTACGTGAATTCTGGGTCGAAGGGGCCGATAAAGTAAGCAAATACAGTGCCCCTGTAACTAGTCTGTTTATCCCAGGTGGGATAATGTAACTGGCAATTCCGAAATTGTTGGTCTAAACGTTTTCGGTTCCATCCCAAGCAGCTGAAATTCGGGTTTACAGAAGATTGGTCCATTATTTGTTAAAACCAAGCCTTGACTGACCATTAAAGTAACTCATCGATGACTTAAATGTTGAATGCGCCAGTTGCTTACCCTTTTTACAAATGGTGTTTTCTGTTCCATAAGATAGGTGAACTTCAGCAGTTGGATCAGGAATACCACGGTTTACTAAATAAGGGTTTCGCTCTCGCTGAAAGTGCCATCATCGGGAAAATTTCGAAGCCACAATACCAAACTGAGGATTCAAATCTCTCTTCGAAGAAGGTTGGACTGATAGAGAAAATGGAGGCCATCGCTGAATCCTTGTAGAACTTGGGACTTGATTTTTGCTTGACTGCCCTTTATCTCACACCCTCCGTCCGTTTGTATCACTCTTTCCTATTGCGCCTTGTTAATTTTCTTTAACTCGGGCATCGTTAAAATATGGCTGGCATCAGGTGGGGTTTTGTTCTTTTTGGTGTTTTGATTTCGAGAATCCCCAATTCGACATGGCGAGGTGTTGTGAATCAGTTATTTTGATGTTTCCCCATCGAGCCCAACAGGAGCAGTTCCAGCCTCATTGAAATTTCTAATTTGGGGTGCCTTGCTGAAATCGGTAGACTATAGCCATCGAGGTAACCGTTGATACCGGATCTTACAGCTGATGAGAACCGCAGCAACAGTGATTGATTATGGCATTTTCGAAAACAAGATACGATGTGAGAAATAATTAAAGATCAGAGGCGCTCGCGTGGACGTGTGTCTTCACAAACACCAGTTCCAATAAACTCCATGAGGCAGGTCCATACTAGGTCTCATTTTATTTCCTGAAAGAGTTGTCCCATTGAGATCGTCTATAAACTCGGCTGTAGGTTACTGTCATGTGGCGTATCACATCATTCACGGACGCTGGGGGCTTTGTTTTCTTTACACTTGTCAACTCGATTTGTTCAAGGTTGTCTCTTGTGTCGTTCCGCGGTACTAATGTGTGGCACTCAATACCACACTCTTTCGGACATAACCTAGAATTACGAAAAAAAACTGGCCCGATGTGCAATTTTCCCCATGTAACAAGAATTATCCTACTAAGATCAAATAATCCTAGCGACTTATAATAAGTTCATGTATTTTTGTGTTCACAGAACTGTTGTAATCGTGCTCCCATTGGTCAGCTCTCCTTGAAACATCCGTTGTCCTATTGACCGATATGTATTTGAAAGTTCACGCGTACTTTAGCTGCCAGTTATGGAGTCGCATTTTGCCGTGAAATTGTTCATAAGAATGAAATGAAGTAAAAGGACAATCGAAAACTTTTCGACTGTGATCCTAATGATCCTTGAAATCTTCACAAACTACGTGGCCGCTTAGAAGAACAATGCGGATATCCCTAGATTACCTAATGTGCTGAGTTTTTGAATAGAGCTTTTCCATATTTTGCTAATTATTAGATTTGTGACAATCGTGGGTTTAGGCCATGTCTGATCGCTCCAGTGACTATTCTAAGCCTTTGATTTCTGTACATAGAAATAAAGGAGTTTTAACCCCTGCAGTAGGAAGCATAAAATGGACCCTAGAGGCAGGTGCGTTTTCTCAAATGGTCATGATAGTCGAGCCACTCTCGCGTCATTAACCAATGCTAGACACGTGCGGTCGTGGCCCCTCGCCTCCCTCATTCCACCTCAACCCCCACTGCCCGCGTGGACGCCATCATTAAAACGAGGTAACATAAGGCGTTCACGTGATGCCTGATTCCAACCCACCTACTAACGTTACCCTAGGGGTCCATGCTTGGACTAATACAGAATTGAAAAGCCAACACATATTTACCACCCGATTTAGTCTCAACGATTGCACGATGGACGCTACATGTCACTTTCAGAAACCTGTGTTAGAAATCGCTTTTAAATATTGGGTGAAAGGCTTAATTCTTGCAGATTTATTTTCGAATTTAAAGTTATATTTAAAAAAGAAATATTTTTGTGGTTTTGTGGTCTCGAGAGGATCATAAGCAAGGTTTCAAAACGCCGACCGACAAGTCCACGTGAGTTACATTACGTCTCAGAATAGGAGATTTTATGATGGCAACGGATAAACAGCACAGTCTGCACCGCATTTTTTACGAATGCTTAGAATGCACGGAAATCAATTTGTAGGGTTCTTGTGTCTAATGAAACATGTGATTATTAGTACAAAATTTTTAGGATCTTTGATTTCGATCTCAGTGACCAGCCGCGCACGGGATAGCCTCGAAAGTGTGAAGATGCAAAATAGCAGGCTCTCCTGGATGAAGATTTAAAGCAAACACAAGAGGAGCTTGCAGCTCAGTTCGGAGTAACCTAAACAGCACCAAATCAGGAAATTTTAAAAACTTGGAAGTTGGGTTCCATATTTGTTGACTGAACACAACACATGCCTCTCACTGCTTACCCGCCGGCAACAACAAAGGATTTCTTGCATCAAATTGTGACGTTTGATTAGAAGCCTATATTTAAGATACTCCATCTCGGGCAACCCAGCACATCGATGCCGAA